TAATATTTTTGAGTTAAAAGTATTTTAATATTATTGTATATTATTTTGTTATTATAATAAATAATACTTCATCCGTCTCATTTCAATGAGGTCTTTTGATGTTTTGTATTAGATTAAAAATTAATATTAGTAATTTATTGGTTAGTGAAAGTATGTAAAAAATTTTGAAATTTTTGCTTGTTAACTTTATATATTAAGTAATTGTGTGTGTACTGGTGTATTTGTAATATAAGTAAAGTTAAAAATATTTTTATATTAATGTATGATTACTTTTGTAAAATAAAAAATAAATACTTTGAGGTGGGACAAACAAAAATAGTAAAAAAAATATTTTAAATTCGGACGAAGGGAATAAATATTTTATAGTGGAACAAATAACCATAAATATTTTCAATTGTAAATAAAGAAGTATTATTTATATATATATATATATATTATTTTTTATATATATAAAAATGGAATTAAAACTTTTATAGTATTAATAATATAAATTCCAAATTAAAATAAAAAACTTATATAAATAAATTAATACTTCTTTCGTCCCGCCACAGATGATCCATTTGGTTAGGAATACAATATTTTAGGTAATGTAATTTAATAAGTTAATCATAATACTAATGATATTATTTTTTTATTTTTTATATAAATAGTATTGTTAGTATTTTAAAATAAAAATTAGGGAAAAAAATCATTTTTGTCTTAATATAACCATAATTTATCAATTTTGGTCTCAATATAAAAAAAATCATCAAATTTTGTCTTATTATAAACAATTTCAATCAATTTTGATCTCATTATAAACAATTTCAATCAATTTTGGTCTCACCGTTAAAAAAACTAATGGAAATTGCTGACATGGACGTAACGAAGTTGACGTGGCAGTTGACCTGAAAACTACACGACCATATACAATTATACACGGTCATGTTGTCACATGGTTATTCATATTTTAGTGTACAATATACACGGTCATGTTTAATTCTACACGGCCGTGTACTTTTCTGTTTTGGTGTAAAATTTTATTTTTTTATTATATTTTTTTTAGAAAAAAATATTTTGAATTTATAATAGTTGATATAATAAAAATGAAAAAAAAAATCAATAATAATCCTAATATAATTAAAATATCAATTTAGTTCAAATATAAAAATTTATAGATATGTTCTTTTGAAAGATTTTGTCTAAATAACTCTTATTCATCAAAAAAATTTCTCTTACAAACATTCAATTACACAACTATTTTTTATTTTTTTTATATTATACTCCCTCTGTTCTGCTACATATTACCCCATTTCTTTTTTGGTACGTCCCACAAAAGATGACTCATTTCCATTTTTAACAAGTTTATCAATCTTAAACATACTTTACAAATACAAATCAATTTAATTAAACTTCTAACATCTTACACATAGGACCCACTCAAAATCCTTTTATTTCTATATCTCTCCTTAATTAACAAATATTTTTATCTATCTTTAAAACTCCTCATTTTTTATAAAATTAATTTATGATAATGATAAATAAATAAATATATTTTTTTATTCATTTGTATTATATAAAATTTTATTTGTTTACAAAATGATATCTATATTGCATATATTTTATTGAGATATAATTGTAAAAATATTTAAAATACCAACAACACTACACATATAAAAAATAATAAAATACTCAATCCGTCCCTTAACAATCTATCAATTTTTCCATTTCGGTTCGTCCCATAATAAGTATTCATTTCTTTTTTTAAGTAACGGTACCATCTACATAACATTACAAATACCCTTCCAATTTACAATATATTACATAAATGTCATTAACTTTATATCATACAATAATAATAGGGTTAATTTAGTCTTTTTACCTTTATTTCTAATTTATCCCAATATAATACTAATATTTCTAAAACTCCGTGCAAAAAATAAATGAATATATAGATATGAGACGGAGGCAGTATTATCTTAATTTATTATTAATAATTTAATAATCTATATTAACTAAAATATCGTGTCCCTAACAAAAGGCTCCATCTTCTGCGGGACGAAGAGAATATATAAATTTTATTTTACATTTCAATATAATTTCAACATAGATATATATAATTGTATTGAAATGTAAAATTAATTTTTAATACTATAGTATAAAAAAATAAAAAATAGTTGCGTAATTGAATATTTTTAAGAGAATTTGTTTTTGGTAAATAGTAAAATTTTAGACAAAATCTTCCAAAAGAACATACTCGCTAAATTTTTATATTTGAATTAAAAATTGATACATTTTAATTATATTCGGATTTTAATTATATCAACTATTCTAAATTCAAAATATTTTTTTTTTCAAAAAATATAAAAAAATAAAATTTTAAACCAAAACAGAAAGGTATACGGCTGTTTATACATGGTTGTGTGACAACATGACCGTGTATAATTGTGCATAGTCGTGTAGTTTTCAGGTCAGCTATCACGTCAACCCCGTTACATGTACGTTAGCCATTTCCATAGCTTTTTTTAATGATGGGACCAAAATTGATTGAAATGGTTTATAATGAAACTAAAATTGATGAATTTTTTATATTGAAACCAAAATTGATAAATTTTTATTATATTGAAACCAAAATTGATTTTTTCCCTAAAACTTAATATATATGATTAAAAGAAATTTTAAATAGATATTTAAATATTTTAAACACTATATCACAATAAAATATATAATAGTATATACTTCATTCGTCCCTTATCTGTCTATCCCTTTACTTTTTACGTAGAGTTATAGAAATATAGTACTACTTCTGTCCGGCTGGTCTCATTTATTTTTTGTGTGTTGATATTTAAATATTAATTATTATATCAAAATGTAGTATAAATTAAGAAAAATTGCAAAAAAATACTTCAATTAGTGTCTTATAATACTAATAGAAGACATTTGTAAAAAAAATATTATACAAATATAAAGATATTTTTAATGTTAAGTACGATGACGCAAAATATAAATGTGACCCTTAGAGGCGGATGGAGGGAGTATTATATTGGAGTGTAGTATAAATAAAGTAGAAAATACTAAAATAACTTTATTAATATTGTGAAATATTACATTTGTGTAATATATTGCAAGTTGTAGGGGTATTTTTAATTTAGTAGAAAGTATAGTTACTAGAAAAAGAAAATAGATATTTTGTCATTAAACGAACCAAAATAGAAAAATGAATAAATTGTTAAGAAATAGAGGAAGTATATCATTTTGTAGATAATAAAATTTTATATAGTACAAATAAATAAAAAAAATATTTATTTATGTATAATTAATATAAATTAATTTTATAAAAAATAATTAATTTTCAATATATATAAAAATATATTTATTAAAAATAAATAAAAAAATTTTAAAAATAAATACCATATATAAGATCTTTGACATTTGATTAAATTAAATTATACTTCATCCGTCTTATAAATATAATTTTAATTGAGTTGAGTACAAGATTTAAGAAATATTAATATTATATTGATAGTTGGTAAAAATTATGGATAAAAGATTTTTTTGCCCTTGTGAGTGTATTAGTGTAAAAAGTAGTGACAATTGTGTAATAAAAATGAAAAAATATGAGTAGTTTTATGGTGATATGATTATTTATGAAAATAAAAATATTATTTTGTAACGAATAAAAATAATAAATAAGATTATTGTATTAAAATAGAAAAAATATTAATTAAATATATTTTAAAATTATTAAATTTATCTATTTATTTTTACGTGGGACGAACTAAAAGAAAATATCATATGTAGTGAATATATAAGCACACTTAGGGTGTGTTTGTTTGGGGGTTTGGATTTTGAGTTGGGATTTGAATAGTAAAAATTTTGAATTTGAATAGTTGTATGATGTGATATAAATAGGGTTTGATGTGATGTTTTGAATGTAAAATTGATTTTTAGTATAATATAAAAAATAAAAAATAGGTGTTTGATTTGATATTTTTGGGGGGGAAAAAATTGGATGAATAGTGAAAATCCACCAAAATCCTTCAAACAAACACACCGTTATAATAAATAAATTAAAATAACGGAGTAAAATGTTCAGATTTGCAGTGGCCAATAGTGAATAGTTTGGCTTGATGTAGAGAACAGAAGCTGCTCTATTGCAGTTGTACTGCCACTGGCGCGGTGTCATCGTAAATCCCACTTTAAGAAATGTCTAGACCCGAAAATTCAACTCCACTCAACAAACTTAAAAAAAAAAAACAAAAAAAAAACAAAAAAAAAAAACCCTCAACTCACGTCAATGCCCACACACGTAAGTAATTTTTTTAACAAATTTTAAGTATTTTTATTATTTAATTTTTTTGTTTAGAAAATATTATAGTATTAAACAGATATTAAAAAAAAAAATAAACTTTGAAATTTAATTCAAATAAATAAAAAAGGTAGCAAACAATTTCACAAATAAATTCTCTATTGCTTGTTTTACTTGGATCGATCCCACCAACTTGATCTTTTCACTCACTTGTTTTTCTACAGAATCCATACTAATCTAGCTTCCAATTTTGCCACCACCGCCACGCTCTGGATTCTCAACTCATACATGTGTATTATTTTTTCCATGCCATGTACCATGTTCACGATGCCGTTTCTGTTCGTCCTACGTTTTATATTATTTTCATTTTTTGGAAAATAATTATACAATTTAATCTTTTTAATTTATTTTTTTTAATTTTAATTAAACTAATTAGTTATCTGAAAAATAATTACACAATTTAATTTTTTTAATTTATTTATTTTTTAATTTTAATTAAACTAATTAGTATATAAAACACGATAAGTGGGACGAATTACAATATAATAAATAAAAATTACGTGTTTAATTTGATATTTTAAAATAAAAAAATAATTAAAATAATAAATCAAAATAAAAATTAAAAGACATGGGACGTATTTTACCATTGGTTGCGTTTCCCTGTGGCAGAGCAGAGAGCATTAAATGTGCAATCCAGGCTGCTGAGAGAGTTTGATGTAGATAGATACTGCTCCCTTCCTCTATAGTCTCTGCTACTTGTTCTTCTGTTGAAGTGACTACTCACTCATTCAAATATCGATATTTGATCCGATTCCGATTGAGAGGCATGTTTCGATTTAATTAACCAAACCAAACCCAACCCCATATCATACCAATTCCAATACCAATAAATGCTTGCTGGCTAGTACAGTAGTTCCTAAATTCTAGCCACTTTTTACAAAATTAATTTTGTGATTTTTTCAATTATTTCCTCTCTCCAGTTTCTCTCTTCTCTCGCCTCTCTTTTCGGAAATTTCCACATATTCTCAGATGAAATGGGCTGCTGCTGACACTTTCAATAATGGGCTGCGTTTTTGGAAAACCATTCGCCGGAAGAAGGGAAGCTCGCCGGAGGCAGGAAAGAGATGAACCTGGTCGGTCGGTCGCAACGGCGTCGGAAAACGGCATCGTCGAAACCGACCGTTGTAAGACGATCGGAGAGGTTGCTGCTGCCCGGCGGAGCGCTTCATCGACCGTACCGGAGTTTCGTCTGAGAATGGGCCCCACCACTTCGGCGGAGGGCTGGCCGTCGTGGCTGCTCGAGGTCGCCGGAAGCGTGATCAAGGACTGGAAGCCCCGGCGGGCTAATACCTTCGAGAAACTCCAGAAGGTGAATCCTCTCCTCGTCAACGCAATATGGAGGTGGTTCGTTTACATTAATTACTTAGAATTAATTGCGGGTAGGTGAAGGTACCATCGGTGATCCCAAAGGTACAATTCCTTAATGCATGCATGATACAGAGCAATTTATAGGCCAAGTACCATTTTCATAGCACGTGGTACATCACTTGACTGAAAAGCAAACCAGCAATTCCGTTCCCCATCAAAACATGTGTTTTTTACTTTTTGCAGTAATTTTGTAAATTAATTCTGAGCTGTATTGCTGGTGGTTTTGTTTTGCAGATTGGGCAGGGTACTTACAGTAATGTCTACAAAGCCAAGGATTTGATCACGGGGAAGATAGTGGCCCTGAAGAAAGTGAGGTTTGATAACTTAGAGCCAGAGACTGTAAGGTTCATGGCAAGAGAAATACTTGTCTTGAGACAACTGAATCATCCGAATGTAATAAAGCTGGAAGGTCTTGTTATTTCAAGATTGTCCAGCAGTCTCTACCTTGTTTTCGAGTACATGGAGCATGATCTTTCTGGTCTGGCTGCTGTTTATGGTGTCAAGTTCACTGAGCCACAGGTAAGTAAGTAGGTATTTAAAACCTCTGCAGAAATTTCCGTTTCAACGAGTCTTTTTAGATATGTGTTTTCTCACCTTAATCTCTTGCATATCTTCATCTGAATTCAGGCCATGTTGTGTAGGTTTAGAAGGTATGATTGGGTTATGATGTGATTTTAGTTGTGGATAAATTTGTTCATATATGCCAGGCCCTTGCAGTTTGCATAGTACTTGCCCGATTAATCTGGGCCCAGCACAAATAACCGAGTCATTGTTTAGACTTAGTTTTCTCTATATGTTCTTATTTGTTAAAAGAAAGGATCGGGTCTTTCAATCTAAAATCAATTGGTATTAGGTGAAAGTGGCCTTTCACCTTTATAAAGTAAAGAGCTCTAACATCATATCCAATGTGGGGCAATATTTAACTTTCCCTCCTCGAAATGATAATTTTGAAAATCCAAAGCACTCCCCTCCGAGATGCTCGAAAATTCAAATATGATCAATATCTAATACGGGCACCATAACTCTGATAGCATATTAAGAAAGAATTTGGGCTTCCAATCTAAAACCAATTGGTATTAGGTAGAGTTGCCCTTCACCCTTATAAAATAGTAGAGTTCCAACATCGTATCGAATGTGGGATAATATTTAACACCCCTTGAAATGATAATTTCGAAACTCCAAACCACTCACCCCGCAAAGATGTCAATCTCGAAAATTCAAACAGGATTAATACCCAATATAGGCACCATGATTCTGATACCATATCAAGAAAAGATTCCGACTTTCAACCTAAAATCAATTGATATTAGGTGTAATGGTCCTTCATCCTTATAAAGTAGGGAACCCCCAACATCATACCCAACATGGGACAATATTCAACACTCACCTTCAAAATGATAATCTTGAAAATCTAAACCACACCCTCTCGAGATGACAATCTCGAAAATTCAAACAGGATAAGTACCCAGTACTGGTACCATGACTTTGATACCATGTTAAGAAATGATCCGGGCTTTCAACCTCAAACCAATTGGTATTAGGTGGAGTGGCCTTTCACCCGGGGAGCTCTAACATCATATCCAATGTGGGACAATATTCAATATTATTCTACAAGTGTAGCTAGTTTCTATTTCCCTTTTGTAGATTCTTCATGCTTATTTGTATCCCCTGCTTGTCTATAAATACATGTACCCAGTTGCTCATTTCATTTCCTTCAATTCTTGTAAATAGTAGTACAAGAATTTTTCTCATTGCTTTCCTTTCTCTCTTTACCACTCTCAAATTACACCGCCTCCTCTCCATGCACCATCACTTGTGTATTTTTTTTTTCTCTTTTCCTATTACTCAAATTTTCATTAATTGTCTAAATTCCTCCACTTAATACGATTTACGATTTCTTTGTTTGCCTTTTATTTTTTATTTAACATTTCTTATTTGTTATTTAACATTCGATATTAGAGCCTAGATAGTAAGCAAGGATGTTGAGCGGGATGTCCAAAATTTACTCTCATCTTAGGAATGATGATGGATGATGATCCATGTTAAAAGATACCAAGCTTAATCAATACTACCTAGTCATTGCCAAAATCAAACAGTCTTACAATCTAAATACACCATGCCTTTGAAGAGGTTGTTGGGCGCCTGAAGACATTTGAGGAGTGTGTACTTCATAATGAACCCAATTGGAGCAATGGCTAGCTACTTTTCACCCATATTGAATGGAATGATAGTATAGGTTAATTGGGTGTGTTTGTTTGGGGGTTTGGATTTTGAATTGAGATTTGAATAGTAAAAATTTTGAATTTAAATAAATAGTTGTATGATGTGACATAAATAGGTGTTGATGTGATGTTTTGAATGTAAAATTGATTTTTAGTATAATATAAAAAATAAAAAATGGGTGTTTGATTTGATGTTTTTGGGGGAAAAAATGGGATGAATAGTGAAAATTAAATCCAATCCCCCAAACAAACACACCCTTAACCTATAGATTAGCTTCTATTAATTGTAATTAGTCTATTAGTTATAATTAGATTGTTTAACCATTTAGTTAGCCTACATATTAGTCTCTCAATAATTGTAAATTATCTATAAATTAGTCAATAGATTAGCATTTCGTAAGGGTACTTAGCATAGATCAACCTTCCTTAATCCTATTTATATTTTATATTCTACACAAAGAAAAACAAGTTTTGTGGAATGAAACAAATTGTCATGTTATTAGAGCTCTTGGTTTAGAATTGTCTAATATTCTCAGTTTCAAAAGGTTGTTCTAGTTTTGTTATTTTTACTATTGAGAAATCTTTGATATTTGTTTTTTCATTTGGTAGTATCTTTAATTTTTTGGGTTTCTGGCATTACTCATGGCTACCGAAAAATCAGATTCTAAATTTTGTATTAAGTTTATGGGAAAGAATTATTTAACATGGGAATTTTATCTCCAGTTGTATGTTACTGACAAGGGCTATCGGGACATATCGATGGGACTATTCCACATATCGATGCCCCACTAGATTGGCTCAATGAATTGTCCAAGATCCACGGGTAATGTATTGGATTATAAGTTCTTGTGATTCTCAAAACAATCCTACTGTGTGCTCATATAAAACTCCTAAAGAAATATAGACATATTTAAAGAAAGTTTATTGTCAACGGGATTCAACAAGAGATTTCATTTGGAATGTGAGATTGCATATTACACTTAAGGGAAGTCTATTGATTCAATAATATTTTTCAGGTTTTCAAATCTTATGAAATGAATTGTCGGATAATATTTATGTTACCGTATCCAAAAAGCCTTTCTCTAATGTATTGGCAGTTCATGAAATTAGCAAGCGAGATCAATTTCTGATGAAGTTGAGATCTAATTTTGAGAATGCTCGGTCTAATCTTATGCTTCGTCATCCTTCTCCTATGTTGGATGAATGTTTTGGTGAATTACTTCGTGAGGACCAACGTCTCCTCATATAAGCCACTCTTGAACATGAAAAGTTGAATTCAACACGAATAACTTATGTGACTCAATCAAAAATCAAGGGGAGGTCTAACTTCTCGAGTCTTTTATGTGAGGGTATAAAGAAACACATAAGAGGTTAAAGCAAATAACTAACAAAACATGTTTGCTAAATTCAATTGTCAAACCTACATACTGAGGATTTCAATCCTAGACTATCAACTAATAAACATCACCTTACCTCTTCTACAATTTTCTTAACATATACACCAAACATACCATCTAGTTAGGAATAAGAGAACTTACTTGTTTTAGATAGGAAATCCTTTTTTCTTCTCTTTGATATGTGCCTTGTAAGCATCTTAGAAACTTACTATTTCAGATATCTGTGTTGCTTGTGAGGGGACAAATTTCTTCTGCGTTAAGTCATCTTCAATTGATTGTAATACCTTTAACCCAATTCCTATATGTCATTATTTTTTGTTTTCACTTAGGAGAACATTTTTTTTGTGCATAGCATGCGGTTGATATAGAAGGTTGGGAGAACATGCCAACATCAACACATTCATTCTTTCAATCATTCATCAAAATTCATTATGTTCCATTCAACATATTTAATTTATTAGACCCAACAAAATGAGTCCAATATAATGTTTGCAAATAAAAAAAGCAAAGTCAAAAGATAATTAGGTTTTGTACGGAAAGCAAACTATGAGTCTAATCAACTTCAATTCTTTCAACTTTAGCTTTAACTCCCCCTTTATCTAGATCAAATTTCCTATTTGATACCAAATTTTCTTTTCAGAAAAGTTCGATACCCCTTTTGTTCACCTTAATGGCAAAAATTATTCAGCTTGGGCATTCAATTTCCACATCAAGAGTAAGGATTTGTGGGGCCATGTTGATGGCACAACTTCTGCTGCAGACATAGAGAAAGATGCCCGAGTTTTCCAAGTGTTAAGGATGCCCAGATCATGAGTTTGATCCTTGGATCTGTTGAGCCCGAAATTATCTTGAATTTGCGACATTTCAAAACTGCAGCCGAAATGTGGGCTGTTGGTGTGAATCTTCAAAGCCTTTTGGCTGCTGAACAAAGATTTCTTTTTGATCAACCTATTTAAGAAGGCCATTTTTCCATTCATTTGACACTAAGTGAAGCCAAATGAACAACACAAGGATAATGATAATCTTATGTCTTCAATTCTTTATTCCTAGCCACGAGAGAAAACTTCTCATGGTCAATTCCTTTTACTTGTAATCTCGAGCCATTAGTCTACCTATGTTCTTTGTTATTCATCTTACTATTCAAAATCCATTTGGTTCTTATGATATTGCTGTTACCAGGTTCTATCAATATTCAAACTTTGTTTATCTCATGTTGCTCTTCTATAGTATTGATCTGTTAGGTGTAGCCTTCGTTAGGGTAGTTAACCTTAATCGGCTTAGGAGTTCGGGCCCAATTGCGATTAACTCTAAACTTAGTCTATAAATACCACCTCTTGTACTTGTAAAGTGTGCCATCTTCTATTGCATAAATAAGATAGTTCTTGGTTGCCCCGTGGATGTAGGTCGATAACTTTTATCGGCCGAACCATGTAATTATTTGTGTTTTGTCTTCTTGTTTGTGTGTGCGTGTGATTTAATCCTAAAAAGTGGTATCAGAGCGAGGTTATTCACACGAGTACACTTGTTCAAGAACAACAGAACAAAAACAAAGCAGAACAGACTGTGTCAGAGCAAAGAGCAGAACAACGTCAGAAGCGTCAAACCCGTCAGTGTCAGAACGCGCCAGACCCGCCAGTAGCGTCTCGTAGTCTACTCAGCAGCCCTGATCGCTGATAGCACGCTGCAGATCCTATCCGACACATCCCGCAAATTGTAGACTTTGTATTTGTATGATTAAATCATGTCTGAGGATGGAAAGACTAAGATTGATAAGTTTGATGGAAAAAATTTCGGTTGGTGGAAGGTGCAAATTGAGGATTTATTTTGTCATAAGGATTTGGATTTGCCTTTGACCGGAAGAAAGCTCGAGAAGATGAGCGACGATGAATAGACAATCCTTAACAAGAAAACCCTGTCTATTATCATATCAGCGCTAGCCTTGGACTCAACATTCTCAAGGAGACTACCGCATATGGGTTGATGAAAACATTGACAAACATGTACGAGAAGCCACTTGCTTTCAACAAGGTATTTCTGAAAAGACAGTCGGTGAATACAAGAATGAAAGAAGTGTGCTTGTTACTTAGCATATAAATGCATCCAATACTATAATATCCCAGCTGTTGTCCGTGGGTATTAAGTTTGACAATAAAGTTCAGCCTTTGCTCTTGTTATCCTCATTACTTGAAAGTTGGTTAGGAACCGTCACAACCGTTAGTAGTTCATCCGGAAATTCTAAACTTACATTTGAAGGCATCCGCAAATTAATAATCGGAGAGGATATACAAAATGATGAAACTCTAGTGAAACTTCAAGCACCCTATTGAGCATTGAAAGAAGAGGCAGAAAAAAAAAAAAAAAAGAATGGCAAAGGACGATCAACTTCCAGAAAGAGGTGCCAGTTAAAGCCGATGAAGGATATTTAATGTTGTAATTGCAAAGAGTATGGGCACTTAAAAAATCAGTGCTCAAAACTGCCAGAGTAAAAGGAGGTGAATGCCACTATAGACGGCTTCGACAATGCACTCATCTGTTGTGTTGAGAATTCAACTGAGTCGTGGATTATGGATTCTAATGCATTATTCTATGCTACTTTTAGCATGAAGATGATGAATAATCTACTGACAGGTAACTTTGGTAAAGTTTGTTTGGCTAACAACGACTCTCTTAATATCACAAGGATGGGTGACATAGATCTAAAGGCCCCTTGGGACACCATCTAGACATTGAAGGACGTTAGGGTAATCCTTAGTCTTAGGAAAATGCTCATCTCCATTGGGCGGTTGGATGATCAGGGATATAATGTCACGTTTGGAGGAGGGCAATGGAGAGTCGTCAAGGCAATCTCGTAATTGTCAAAGGCAAGAACAGGGGTGTTGTATACATGGCCGATGTCTCTGAAAATGAAGCAAGTGCAGTAATTAGCAAGTAAAGTCCGTCTATTTTGTGGCACCAACGACTTGGCCACATGAGCAAAAAAGAAATGAAAATACTTGTCGCAAGAGGAAAGCTTCCAAATCTAAAAATGGTGGATTTTGAGTTTTGTGAGCCCTGTGTGCTTGGCAAGAAGAAGAAAGTCTCTTTTGCACAAACGAGGCAGACACTGAAAGCTTAGAAATTGGAATTGGTTCATTGATGTCTATGGACAAACACTAGTCTTTTTCTTTGGCGGATCAAACTACTATATAACGTTCATCGATGATTCAACAAGAAAGGTATTGATCTATTTTTTTTAAAACAAGTCTGAAGTTTTCAATACTTTTAAGAAATGGAAAACTGCTGTTGAATTAGAACTAACCTGAAGGTGAAGTGCTTGAAATCGGATAATGGGGGTGAATACATCAGCACAGAGTTCACCGAGTATTGTGCAACACGGGATCCGGATGAACAAGACTGTCCCGGGCACTCCTCAGCAGAACAGAGTAGCGGCTGAAAGGATGAATGGAACACTGAATGAGAGGGCCAGAAGTATGAGACAGAATGGTGGACTTTAAAGGCATTCTGGGCTGATGTAGTTAACACTACTGCTTATCTTATCAACCGAGGACTAACAGTGCCATTGGCTTTCAAGATACTTGAAGAAAAGTCGAAAGAGAAAGCACACCCTTTAGAAGGGATACCAATTCGGGTACCATGACTCTGATACCATGTTGAGAAGGGATTCGTGCTTCCAACCTAAATCCAATTGGTTTTAGATGGAGTGACCCTTTACCCCTTCAAACCAAGGGAGTTCTCACATATTTACCAATATAGAATAATATTCAACATTCTTCTTCGAGATAATAATCTAAAAAATTCATATAGGATTAATACCTAATACGGGCACCATAGCTCTGATACCATGCGAAGGAAATTAGGTTTATTTTATTACATTACACCTATATATATATATATATACACATCTAATCTATATTGTGTTATGGGCTCACAATGGAATTAGATACTAATATATGTATCTATATATCTAACAATATATATAAAAAATACCATGACAATTTGTTTTATTTCCAAAACTTGTTGTCCTTCTTTGTGTCCAATACCGAGTATAAATATGATTAAGAATTGATCTATACACTAAGTACAATTATGAAGTGCTAATCTATAGGCCAATTATAATTAACGAGAGGTTAATCTATAGGCTAAATTAATAGCTAGACAATCTAATAATAATTAATAGGCTAATTACAATTAATGAGAGACTAATCTATAGGCTAAACTAATGGCTAGAAAATATAATTATAATTAACCTATATTAACAAAGATTTTATTTAGCACCACAGTATTTTCCTTTACGATGAGTTCTTTTTTTTCCTGACTGTTGTTCTTAGAAACTCTTATGTTCAAAGCAAGATGTCTAATTAGGCCACAACAGAATCTATTGTATAATTTTAATTTCTTGAATAAACTAAAAGTCCTTTATGTTTTGAAAAAAGAAAAAATTATAGGACCCGCTTTCCTCATGTGAATCTCGCCTGTGTGGTTGATGTAAATTTCAGTTGTTCCATTTATCCAAAAGACAGAATTGAACAGTCACTTGTTTTCTAGCATTGATTCTCTCACAAGTGGGAAAGTCTAGATGAACATAATTGAATCTGATATATATAATAGTTATGCTGTTTGAGTTGCCTAAAGTGCTAATGTTCAGAAGAGTTAGTGAGCTTGTCCCAGGTTGAATGTCGATTAGTTTTTAATAAGTGTTTCTTCTTTCAACATATATGTTGATTAGTTTTTAAAGTGCTAATGTTCAGAAGAGTTAGTGAGCTTGTCCCAGGTTGAATGTCGATTACTTTTTAAGAAGTGTTTCCTCTTTCAATATATATTGAGTTTCATATTCATGGTTCACAAGATTCTTTAATAACTTCTTTTGTTTTCTCATCCTTTTTATCCCATAAATATACATGAATTCCTGTGATTTAGTGTTATTCTAGCAGATGCTTAAGGATCACTATGTTTGTTTCTTGTTGCAGGTCAAATGCTTTATGAAACAACTACTTTGCGGACTAGAGCACTGCCACAATAATGGTGTTCTACATCGTGATATTAAATGTTCTAATTTACTAATTGATAATGATGGAATGCTAAAAATAGCTGATTTTGGGCTGGCCTCGTTTTTTGATCCTGAACATAAAAAACCAATGACAAGCCGTGTTGTGACTCTCTGGTACCGTCCTCCCGAACTCTTGCTAGGGGCCACCTATTATGGTGCCGGTGTTGATCTATGGAGTGCTGGCTGTATCTTGGCTGAATTGTTTGCAGGGAAGCCTATACTGAGGGGACGGACAGAGGTAATTTTCCATCGATTTTTCTTGTTGATAGATAAATAAAATGGTCTTCGACTCTAAGATGCTACATTCTTCCACTCTGATATACGGACGCCTGATTATCCATGGATATTCTATTTTCACCAGCAGTACTTTACCACTAATTTTTTTCACTAAAACTTTGGTAACATGATGTCTAATGAGTTCTTTTATTACATTTTGTTTGCCAATTAAGCACATAAATAATGTAACATGTTAACCTCTGCGAGACTAGACATTCTAGTAGAGTCTTAAACTTTGCCATCATCCATAAAATAGGTGCATATTTATCCTTGAGCATATTATGAATTTTTCTAACTTGGTTACCTCAAACGAATTGATTTTGCTTCTGGGAACCCCACAGTTTTCTTTATTTGAAACTTATTCAATTGCTGATGATTATTAGTTCCTTTTTTTTATGGAACAGCAGGCAGCAATTTGTTGTTCTACTTTTTCTTTCCTACATATTCGTGAAGTATATAAAATTATTTTGTTTTGTAGGTTGAGCAACTCCATAAGATATTCAAACTATGTGGTTCCCCAACCGAGGAGTACTGGAAAAAATCCAAACTGCCAAATCCAACTCTTTACAAACCGCAGCAATCTTATAAACGGTGCATTATGGAGACTTATAAGGATTTTCCTTCATCATCTCTTGCTCTCATCGAAACTCTCCTTTCAGTCAATCCCGATGAAAGAGGCTCTGCCACTGCGGCATTGAATAGTGAAGTAAGCATCCTTGCTACCTGCATATTTTCAATGTTTTCAGCTAAGTAGCAGAGAGGTTTTTGGTGGTGAAGATGTATGTTTTCTTATTATGCTGTTTTTGCTGTTCAGTTTTTCAGGACCGGTCCAGATGCATGTGAGCCATGGAACCTACCTAAGTTTCCACCAAGCAAGGAACTGGATATTAAATTGAAGGATGAAGAAGCAAGGTGTGTCTACCCTCTTCACATTCTGTTCCAACGGTTCTATCAATAATTGACCGTTCTAATTCCTATTGTGCATGTGAAGGAGACGAAGCACCAGCGGGAAAAAGAGCATTACAGATGCTAATAGAAGAGCAAGGGCACGTGACAAGGCTGTCCGTGCAATTCCTGCTCCAGAGGCCAATGCAGAACTCCAAACAAACTTAGATGTACGTCAGCACTTTCTTCTAATCCTTTCTGCATCCATTTCATTCACCTATATATGAGTATGTGTTGTGCAGAGGCTGAGAATCATCTCAGATGCAAAAGCCAAAAGCAAGAGTGAAAAGTTCCCACCACCCCATCAGGATGGGGCTGTTGGGTACCCTTCCAGTGCATCTCAGAATGGCCCAGGCCCTGCACACATTTCGTTTGGTACGTCATTTACAGCTTCCATTTTCAACCCCAAGTCAAGATCTCTGAAAAATGGTACATCAACAACTGCAGCACCATCAAGGAGGAAAGTTGCGAACGAAGAGCCTAATGGGGCTCCGCAGAGATTCATCAATGCACTATATCCTAACTCAGTAGCTTGGTCGATGGATTTCAAGTTTATTAGCCGCAGGAGAGCAGTTCCTTCATGATTCGAGCAAATGAACAAACCTACCATTTTGCCTGTGGGGTATAAGAGGCTCTGGCTCAGTTGTAGACAAATTTTGAGAATTGGATGCACTGATCAAATGTATCTTAAGCTCCATTGTGCATGTGCAGTAAGAATTGAGTTGATTCTGTACAGTTAAAGACAGTCGAAATTAGAGGCGAACTCAGAGAAACTTGTGTTCATCTGTCTTATGTAAATTTTTTATTTTATTTTGCTGGGGCTGGGGATCTTATGTTTTGTTATGTTTTTATCTTTTTTTGGTTTAGTAATCTCAGAATCCGCAAGTGCTATTTGCCAAGGATAATTGTTATGTTCTTATCTTAATAAACAAGATTATGGCCCATGGGATACCAACTTGTCGAGAACTCACCATTGAAATGGAAATGCAAAGTAAAGGAGATTAGATGAGGAAGCAAGAGAACTAGTACAAATTATGATTGTTGTATACAGAAGGTGTATACTTGTTGGTACCATTTCTATCAGAATTTTGTACTAGTCACTGTTTGGATTACCTTAATCTTTTGTGTATATATTTGTTGTCTCTATTGGAACTTATCCGAAATTAAACCTTAAGTCTAGGATTTGCTGTGTTGAAATAATTTAGATTAGAAAATAAAGCTAATAAATTGACTTGATTCTATTAGTGCAAGAGAATTCAGATTTACGAATTAATTGAGAGTTTTGTGTTCTTCAAGTATATGACGCAACCACTCCTTAGAAACCCTAGGGTTTCTGCCATTATTCTCACGATGAGATATGAAAATAATGGTCGTTGCGCCTAGATTTGGGATCACAATCCTAATTTATATTCCTTATTATTAATTGGTCTCATAACCCAATCAATAAGTTATCGGGGTTCTGCACATAGGAGGCCCGTATTTACTAAATACATTTAAACTCAATAAATTTAATAGATTACTTAATATAGACTTAATCTAACTAAAGCCCAAATCACTACAAAAAAATAATATATTTGTAACGGAATTCCGTCCCTAAAGTTCACGTAGCTAACGTAATTCCGTTTCTAATTCCGTCTATAATGTTATTAGTAACGGAAAAAGTAGATTTAGAGACAAAAAAATTTTGTTACAAAAATAATTTTTTCTTGTAGTGAATAGTTATATTTAACATACAATTGGAATTTTAATCCAACAATCTCCCTCTTGGGTAAATGTATACTGAATAACTTTATGAGCTCATGAAAAATTTTGCTATAAGATCCTTTAATGTATTTTATTAATCTTATCTATAAATCACATCAATGCGGATTAAAGCGGTCATCACTGCATTTTTTGCAATGGGACCGATTAGTGGTCACAACACTAATATAACCTAAGATTCGATCAATTGTGGATACACAATATGGAAATTTGATATAATCTGATCTTAACATGCCTATTTCCAACTGATTCACATTAACTTTAGTTCATAATAACTTAATACTAAACAGTGAATACTGAATACTGAATGCTACAGTATAAAGTAAAGTAACTTTAACTGTATTTGAACATTACTAATCAACTCTCACTAAACTGAATATCAAAATAGTTCCACTCTCATACGAGCAACATGTTCACTATAAAACTTATGTGGAAACTCTTTAGTAATTAAGCAAATTTGCAATCGTGGAAGTTGTATGAATATGTTCAATAATTAACTCATTATGTGAAGCCATACAATTAAACAAATAATGATTATTATCATCAAATAAGGTACAAGTTCCAATTAATTTCGAATTCAAGAAGAGACTAAAACTTTATATCTGAATGAACAATAATAACTGAATTTGTCCAAAACAGAAATTGAAATTAAATTTCGACTAAAGATGGTACCAAAAAATGTCTCATCCAAATCCAAATAATAATTAGTTCTTAATAATAATCTCAAATTGTCAATGACTTCAACTTGAACTTCCTTGTTGTCACCTATATAGATGTATCTTTCATCATCATTTGATTTTCGGCAATAAAGGCAATCTTACATAGACATACTGATGTGAATTGTTACACTAAAATTCACCTTTATGTGTGTCTATAAACTGAAATTAAAACTAATTTCAAGAGTAAGACCAGTAGGACAAACATGTTCTTTGAAAAGTTTAACTTAAATGCCCTCAATTTAGTAGCAATACTAGACATGTTCAGGTTGTACTTCCTTATGATACATTTGTCATTATACCTCATGGTAATGAGACTTTTAAGAAGAATACTCATTTCCGTTTTATCGTTTTTTGGTAAAGTGTACTTAATTTCGACAAGGAATTCATTGACAGTAGTGATATCATCAGATATTGTACTCCGAAAAATTTATGGAGTATTTTTCGTAATAATCATCAGACTTAGGTGTTGGACTTATCTCACTCTTTAAACAACTGATTTCTATCCGCAGTGCTTACATTTCTTCTCATACCATGTTGGGATCGAAAAACATATATATAAATATTTATGCAGCATAATGAAGCTCAAGAATAATGTATTCTCATTCCAAAACTCTAAGTGCAACATCAATGATCAATCTTTGGATCAATAACATTGATTGTTAGTAGTCATCTTGTTGCAATAATCATGTACGGATAATAAGTAATGTCAAACAGTAAACCACTCTCTGGACTGATTCACTATTCACATAAGTTAAAACTATATAATCATCTCATACATATTATCGCATATGTATATTTCATTATGTCAATTACCAACTACCTTTTGGCCGAAGAATAATCACATAAATTAAAATACACCTAAACACTTACGTTATCAAGAAAAAATCTTTGGTAACTTGAAATATTTTGGCAATTTCAAATACTTGATTTTCACCATAAAAAACGCAGCAAACATTATTAATGAGTTTATAATTTCTTTAAACCAAATTAAAATCAGAATTACGTTCAATGTATACGAGTACGATTCTATAAAAATAAAGAACGTGTATAAGCAACTTGATGCACATGTCTAAGCAACTGAGTACTCCATATGTGAATTTATAAAATAAAGTAGCAATCTCATAACAAGTTATCAAGTAACATCAGCAATTGCTTTTGGACAAATTATTGACTCGCCAGCGATAAACTTGTTTTGACAATCAAATGTTGACAATAAAATAGTGTGTCAAACAATATTCCGTCTTTGGACATATTTATTCTTCACATATAAATAATCAAAGTATTATCACTACATTTAATGTCACTAAACATGCATGTAACTACTTCGTTGTTGACTTGCATTTGGGTCAATCAACAGTCTTATAAGTCACATAAAACCTTATAATATATAAAATAAACTGATTTACACAATAAATGTTGTTTTGGCAACCAATTCATAAAACATACTCATTCCGTCGCAAAACAATAAGGACATTTGGGATTGACACAGGAATAAAAGAATAATAGTATTATATTGATAGAGGGTGTAAAAGTATTTCTAAAAGACTAAAATACTCTTACTAATGTAATTATTGTGAAAAAGTGGAGTTAGTTTTGTAAAAAGGTGGGAAGTTAGTTACCGAAATTAAAAATGAAACTATTGTTTTAGGACGGACGAAAATGGTAATATGAGACTATTGTATTGGGACAGACGAAAATAGTAACATGAGACTATTGTTTTGGGATGGATGGAGTATTATATTAATTTATTGCTACTTAACTTCACGTTAAATAAATCATATATGTATGTCCAATATATATAAAAAAACTATAACAACAACAATTAATTTCTTGATTTATTAAATAATCAAGTAGTCCAAGAAAGACGAAACACAACTGAATTTCATAGATAATAAATATGTCACCAAAGGAGTCTATAAATTAATACATTAAAGTATATAGTCGAATTTGAACAAATGCATACCATAAAAATGCATGTTGTTGTATGATAAATTTAATCGAACCATCAAACGGATCATAATAAATATTCGAGATTTGAATTGCATATATATGACATGTATATAGTTATACTTACAATTAACTCTTCTAATGAAATAATCAAGCCCATTCCGATTTCAAATATTAAGGATCTATGATCATGAGTGTACATGTATACAAATAATTTCCAACATATACAGAAGGTGTATATAGGGTTGCAGGCTGATTGCAATAAAATAAAATTGCACATATTTATATACTCCCTCCGTCCCTTATCTATCTATTTGTTTGTTTTTTGCACGGAGTTTTAGGAATATTAGTATTATATTGAGGTGTGGTATGAATAAAATAAAAAAGACTAAACTGACTTTATTAGTATTGTGTGATATAAAAGTAATGACATTTGTGTAATATATGTAAGTTGTAAGTGTATTTTTAATGTTAATAGAAAGTATAGTTACTAAAAAAGGAAATTGTACTTTGTTATGAGACAGACCAAAATAGAAAAATGGATAAATTGTTAATGGACGGAAGGTGTATGATTTTAAACCCAATCATATACTCCATAAATCAATAAATAAAGGAATTAGTAAATATATAAACAATTAGATTTGCAAAAATGCAATTATTTTCCAATATATATACTTATGATTGCATGCAAATACAAATCCTGATTGCATAAAATTTCAAAGAAACAATATCTGACTAATTGAAGCCATATAATGAGATGATCTCAATTAAAATAATTAATCGATCTAATTAGGATATTAAAAATGACACTACTCTTTAGACTCATGATCGGCCTGATTTATATCCAAATACATTTAATATTAAGCATCTGACATGACGTTCACAAATGTCGATAACATAGATAGCCACACATGATTACACGTATATACCAATTGAAATTCAAATAATAACAATAAATAAATTATGCACTTACTGAGAAATTGTCAATTAATGCACATAAATTCATGTTTGATTTTTGATAAATTTCCTTTCTACGTGTAATGCCAACCAATCATTATTACACAATTGAATTGATTTAAAACATGCAATATTAATAAATAGAGCATTGCACAACGAACAATGGAAGTATAATTTTACATATGTACATACAGAAATAAGAATTTGCACACAATTCAAAAACAAGAATTTCCATTCATATCAATATCTGGACATGTCAAGTCCTTACAAATCAAATCGATTTTACTAAACATAATTGATTTAACAAGTCTATCACAATAATCCAACACAAAATTGCTCTGATACTAATTGTTGGAACTTATCAGAAATTAAACCCTAAGCCCAGGATTTGTTGTATTAAAATAATTGAGATAATAAAATAAAACTAATAAATTGACCTAATTCTACTACAGCAAGCGGATTCAGATTTACGAATTAATTGAGGGTTTTGTGTTTTACGCGACGCAACCCCTCCTGAGAAAACTGCTAGGGTTTCGGTCATTACTTTCACAATAAGATAGTAAAAGTAATGGTCGTTGCGCCTAAACTTGGGATCACAACCCTAATTTATATCAATCATCCAATTAATAAGTTATCGGGTTTCTGCCCATAGGAGGCCCACAATTAGTAAATATATATAAGCTCAATAAATATAATAGACCACTTAATATAGTTTTAATCTAACTGATAGCTCAAATAATTACACTTAACCCATAATGGATTGTTAATCCAACATCTATATCATATGTAA